GTAAATGAGGTAAGGTTAATCCATTGGTGAACTCAGAATTGAGCCAATCCAAGTAATTGATATAAAATACCGGTCTCGAAACCTAACAAATCAAGCAAAATCAGATAAATCCAAATTAATACAATTTAAAGTCTTGTTTCAATAAAAATAAAAAAATCACATTATTGTTATTTTAAATTAACTTAAATGGCATTAACATTTTTCAGATTAATCCTGGACAACCCTGTATAGGTCAATGGATAAAACGGTTTTTTATTCAAGCAAATGGAGATAAATCCTGTCAATTCAAGCAACACTAGATAAATCCATTTTGGTTTTTTACTATAACACATGATGCAGGTGGACAAAAATAAAAAAATGAATTTTAAGGTCTTTAAGACCTTAAAATTCATTTTTTTATAATTTATCACTATACTCTATAGAATTCATGGGTTGTTCTTTGTGAAAATGTTGCAGAATGAAAAATATTTGTTTTTCGCTGATAACTCGAAACTGCTTAAAACGGATTTATCTGCTTTTGTCTGATTGCTACTTTAAACTGCGTGCGCGACACGGCTGCGCTATGTCAACTTTGCGAAACGAAATCTGCACAGAAAAAAAGGAATGGTTAATTTAACTATATTAATTTAGTTGACCCATATTTATTTAAATCAACTGTGGGTAGGTTAATGTAAACAAAGATTAGTTTGACGGTACTAAACCAGATAGTTATTTTATTTTTTTAAATTGGTTAAATTAAACCAGAAAACTTTAGAGAAACTAACCCGCTGTATGGTTCAGTTTACTAAATATGTTTTTTGTAAATTAAGAGTTACTTCAACCTTAAGTACTCTGTTAAAACGATTAAAACGTTTGCCATGTATTCCTGGTTGCATAGTATGTACCGATCGCGGCAAAGGCGGTGTGGATCACGTGATGTTTTTAAATCTCGCCTCTGTTGACTTACATTAAGAGTATATAAGGTAGTCCTTTGCTTTGGTGTGACACTACAAGTTGTACGATACTAAATACTTGGAGTATTTTAAGTTGGTGGAACGCATCTCTAGCGAGTGAAGGTTCAATTTTCGTATATAATAGGTACCACTAGTGGTAAAATTTTACCGATAAAATTTTTGATTTTTATACGAATGTTTTTTTCTTGGAAATTACGCAAGTGGCATTAAATTTTAAGACCACGAGCCGCTAGGCGAGTGGTTTTAAAATAATGCCACTTGCGTAATTTCCAAGGAAAAATCATGAGTTAATAAAAATCAAAAATTTTTTCAGGGAAAATTTTATCACGAGTGGAATTCGGCAAGACTATTTCACGAATATTTTTTTAGGTACAAAAAAGGTTTTAATTAAATATTTATTCAAGCATTAAATTTTCAAATGAAACTACAAAAACAAACCAAACTTACAAACTAGAAAAACTAATCAAAACCTAACAAAAATGTAATATGAAAATCATTTGTAATAATTATTAATAGTAAAATTGCAGTTTTGATAAACAACAGCTTGCTGGTTTTGATGTTCATGGTGAACTGTGTTCAAAGAATTTGTGAAGGGAATAAAAGATGAACCTTCAATTCGATTTTCCACTTCAACTGGTCTCATTTTTTCTACCATATTAGAATGATGTGCTGCATCAAGCTGAAGATAAGGTTTGATGGACTGCCCGTGCGAGTGCCCAGTTATCTTGATTAGTTGTTGTTCTCCTATTCCTTGCTTGGCTAATGTGGAAACAGCCGAAGAACGATGGGAGTGGTTAGTTATTTTATTATTTTTGGTGTCCAAACCTATTTTTTCAGCTGATGTTTTGGTCCATTTAGAGAGGTTATTGACACCCAGTGGAGAATTTTTAAACCAGGGCCCTTTTTGCCAGTTTGGGTTAGGTGTAATAAACAGCCTGTCAGTTGTAATGTTTTTACCTCTTTTTGACAGTAGCATTAAAAGCAATCGAACAGGGCAAAATTCTGGTTTTTGGTTGTTTTTAACTAGCCATTTGCTCGTTGACAGTTGTTTTGACCCTCCCTGATTTGTTTTAGAAAATATTGTATTATATTCAATTCTTTCCATAAACTTTCCTTCTGAATCTAGTTCTTTTTTGAAAAAATGTATTTTACTGTACGCAGCTTCATTGCCCCTCCATGCAAGTTCAAAAGAACAAATATGAAAAATCTTCCTTTGCAATCCATCCGGGCAGTTTTCATCCCAAAGAGACACCATTTTGTAAATATTCTTTATATCAAGTGCTTTTGAACTAACTTTTTGATTTTTAGTTTCTTTTTGCAATATTTTCCGCTTGGCATTGCGCGCATTACGCGCCTTTTGGAACTGCAGGTCTGTGAAGGGATTAAAAACAATGTTGTATTCTGTAAAGTATTTTTCTTGTAACATCTTTGCTGTCACGTTCCATAACGTCTTTATACAGTGTTCTTTATAGTCAGACCCATCCAGCTTCTTCATATTGAACGCATAATCTTCTAATATATTTACAAGTTCACTTAGTTTTGTAGACTGCAGCAACTGGTATCCTTTTGCCTCACAAAAATCCATAAATTGCTTCCAAATTGATGTATTCGTTTTTTTGGTGTTTTTAGGCACTGTTTCTTTAACTGCGGATTCAATTTCTGCATGATTTTTTTGACCGAAACGCATTTTTTTTTGACATTTTTCTTTTAAATTAGAAACGTCAACATTGAAAATTATTTTTCGCATAGTAACCAATAGGTTGCTATACACAAGTATAAACGAGTGTTTTTTTCGTAAGTAATATCATAAGGGCATTTAATTTTTCCGAAAAGAATCGAAAAAACACGTTGCTAAGTAATATTTTAACAAAAAGCATGAGTGCTGGTGGCAACAAAAATCCGAGTCGAAGAGGAGGATTTTTGCACCTGCACGAATGCATTTTGTTAAAAAATATTACTTAGCATTGTGTTTTTTCGATTTTTTTCACAGGAAAAATTAGATGCCCGAATGGTATTTGACAAGACTATTTCATGAGTAACAGTTAACAATTAAAATATAAATTGCAATTTTTGGTGACAACAGCTGTCAAGTTTTGCCGCGGGTAAACTCGAAAAAACTGCTGACAGGTGCTGTCACACAGTTTTTTCACCTAGAAACCATTTGTAATTCAAAATTGCGCGTTTGTGATTGGTGGAACTTAAGACGAGGGAAATAGTCGTAAGTAATATCATAAGGGCATTTAATTTTTCCGAAAAGAATCGAAAAAACACGTTGCTAAGTAATATTTTAACAAAAAGCATGAGTGCTGGTGGCAACAAAAATCCGAGTCGAAGAGGAGGATTTTTGCACCTGCACGAATGCATTTTGTTAAAAAATATTACTTAGCATTGTGTTTTTTCGATTTTTTTCATAGGAAAAATTAGATGCCCGAATGGTATTTGACAAGACTATTTCATGAGTAATTACTTATGTTAACAGTTAACAATTAAAATATAAATTGCAATTTTTGGTGACAACAGCTGTCAAGTTTTGCCGCGGGTAAACTCGAATAAACTGCTGACAGGTACTGTCACACAGTGTTTTCACCTAGAAAGCATTTGTAATTCAAAATTGCGCGTTTGTGATTGGTGGAAATTAAGACGAGGGAAATAGTCACCTGAATAGTAGTTTTATTGCTGCAAAACTGAAAAAACCACTCGTTTTCTGAAATCTGATTGGTCCAAAAAGTAATGAGTGGAATAGTCTGGAATAATACCATTGGTGTTATACTAATAATGCGTCAAGGAATTTCCTGTTTCTTGAAAAATATAAAAAAAATGGCTTAAAAATGTTTCTACTCCAATTATTTCGAGATCTTATATTTTTATTGTTAGGTACTATGGCCAAGTTGTACCAATGCGTTAACCTAGTTAGGTAAACAAATTATATTGAGTCAATTCAACCAAATGTATTTAGTTCATTGGACTGGTAGGTAAATGTTACTAGGTACTACTATATAAATGTTTGTTTTAACCAAATATATAGTTGTAGAATATAACTAAATGCGGTTGTTAAAATACCTAAATGTTTGGTTGGCTCTATTGAAACAACAGATTTAGTTAAATCAAACAAATAATAGTTGGGCTAACCAAACCTTTTTTTCTGTGTGGGAAGTGCGATTTCTGCCTTCCTCTATTCTGTGGTCAAAGTACTAAATCATAATTAAGTGCGGATGCTAATTTTGCAGTCAAAGTAAAAAAACTCGAAAAAATTCAACTTTAACCTTAACCAGTGAATTTATCGAAAAATTATAGGAAAGCTTTTTTGTACAGCGTTCAATTTCCTATAAAAATATGTGTCTATTATTGCTGTATACATATTAAGTTAATATTATTAACTTGCTCGGGAGAAAAAAAATTAAATGTAAAACGTGCCAAAACCCCATGTTATTTAAATGGTAAATGTATCGTCTTTGTGGCAAGGTTTAATATGAATATTATGTGCTTATATGAGTCTGATAATTTTTTTTAGGTCATAAACTAAAAATTTAGGGGGCGCTGCGAAAAAAAAACAATTTAGTAAATAACGGACACCTAATGTGGCACCCCAAAATCGTGTTTTTTCTAGTGTACAGCCTTTTGCAAAGGGTTCAAAACTGTTTGGTTATGTTTATTTCCTAACATACCGTTCTTGCTCAAATTGATTTTAAATTTGTTTAATTTATTAATTATTATTAAATTAAGTGAAGCGAGTTTGATTATGAAATTTAAAACATTTATTTATTAATGCCTATAGGCATATATATATATGTAATAATATATGTAATAATAATAATTGTCTTAAAACATTAAAAAATATAATAATAATAATTGTATTGATATTACTTTTTTATAGCGTTCTGTGAAGCTAGTGCAAAACCCTGTATATAATTATATGAATTTTACCTTATCTAAAACGAAACTTGTTCGTATCTCCCATAATTCTAATTAAAGCCTGGCAAACAGACATGTAAATTAGTTTCAGTCTGGGCAACTCCTTCACCTTTGGGGTGTTGGATGCATTAAAATTTAGACTGAAGATTTCACTAGGGAAGGTCTCGTCGTCTCAATTTCAGCGGAAAATGCAAACGTTCGTCCTAAAGGACACTTTTCGCTGTATGCAGGTCGGATCTTAAGGGTAACGAACTCCTCATGGAATCCTATCAAAAACGTTTTTTTTAAATAATAAATAAGGCGACTTGGATCAGAACATGTATATATCTTAAAAGACAGAAAATAAATACCAAGAGAAGTTGTGTAAAATTCTCATTTAAGTATTGGCAGGGGTGGATTTAAAAATGTGCCGTTTCTAGTTAATATTTACCATTTTTATACCCATATACAGGGTGGGGAACCAAGCTCATAATAAAATATAATTTACCTTTAAATGGTCTATAATTTAAACTTTATTATTGTTAACACTCGTTACTAAAGTGATTGAATATAGCCTAGGCACTAATTTAGACTAATCTGCTCTCTAAAAATGAATTAGTCAAAAATGACTAATTTTATAGTTATTAGTGGCTGCTTTTTCACTTGTACCATGGAATACCATGGTATCCCAAAATTTAATAGCCAATCCTTGTAAAATTGTCCCCTGAATCCGAAAATGCCGTCAAAATTTTTGACTAATTAATTTTTTAGAGAGCAGGGTAAATTTTAAAAATTATTATTATTATTTTATAAGTATTTATTTCTTGGTTAAAGTTAAGTTGTGTTACAAAATAACACAACGTTAACCAGAAACAAATTTTGTTTATTATGGAATGCGAATAATGTTCTTATTGGTACATTTAATTTGGCCAAGAAAAACGTTTTGACGATCTCCGAATTGGCAAGATTTGAAATTTGAAGGTCGGGAATCTTAAAATCGATTTAATATTTTGAGAAAATTGCAAAAATTTTGAATAATCGAGAGAACGAGAGAGATCGAGAGAAACGAGAAATGGTTGGGTTATTTATGGCATAAAATTCGACTTTTGTCAGATTGATCTAACCTTACTTTCTACTTTTAATAATTGTATTACATGCTTAAAAAAAGCATTAAAAATATTTACTATCGTAACCTATTTGGATACAGGGGCTCAAAAATCTTTATTGCATGGTTGCTTATAAATTATGAGTTAAAATTTTAAAGTGATTTTAGTGAAATAGTAAAATAAATAGTTACCCTGTGTAGTCGATTGTAAAAAATGATTATATAAAAATTGCAAACTTTAAAACAACTCTATATTAACAATAAAGTCTACTCTTAAGTAGGAATATAATTAGGTAGGTATACACATTTTAATATTCATTAACTCCATTGACTGTTCCAACACAAATTACATAATTTTTAAAGTAACTTAATAACGTAATGGGAACCAAACACGATCAAATTTATAATATAATAATAGAATAACGTATTACTTACTAAAAACAACGTGCTAAATCTGGTAAATAATATATATAATAATATATATATTTGTATTCCACTCACATGCACTGTTAAAAATTTCTATCTTAATTTTACAACAAAAATAGGAAGGGTTTTTCTCAAACTTTTTACAGGTTGTCCTTGTAAATTTACGACAAACTACAAGTAGTATTATATTTTTCCTAAACTTTTTAGAAGTTAATCTTATAAATTTATAACAAAAATACTAAGAATACAATTTCATTATATATCTGATTCAGAACCGGTTTATCAATGACCAGTTAAAGTTTCAGTAAGATATCTGGCAGATAATCTCCAGATAGACTGGAACTTAACCAAAGATTGATAAACCGGCCCCCAGTATAGTAATTGCCATTCTTGAAACTAAGTTTTATAATTTTACTATACTTTTTAATGGTAAAAAATTGGTAAATTTATTATTATTTTTAACAGTGTGGAATTAAAACATTTTACGCTTAAAAACAATTAACAAAGTAAGCTATTACACTAATTGAATAATGAAAATATTACACCTATTTTTTAATTAAATTTTAAAGGCAAATAATCGCAAGAAAACAATATTAGAAAAAACTTACAACCAAAACACTTAGGTCCAAAATTTTCTTGATTATGATTGTTTCAAGTAGATTGGTATACGATCTTTCGAAATGTGCAATAATAATTTGTTTATTTGAAAAATTAAGAATGCTGCGAGCGTTAGGGCTTTTGTTTTTTATTCTTAAAACATTTACTTTCTTGCTTTTTTACATTCTCGCTGGAATCTCCTTTTAGATTTATTTGGTAAATTTGGATCTTGCAAAACTGTCAAAAATATTTCGTGAAATTATTCAATAAAAAAACTTTTAAAATTTGTTTAACATAAAATGTACAAAAATTATATAACAATTAAAAATTATAAAAAATAGTTTAAAAATGCACCTTGTTTGAAAAAGCTATATAATAATATTTATTTTTAGTTGTTTTAATAGTTTAATAGTTTAAAAATGCACCTTGTTTGAAAAAGCTATATAATAATATTTATTTTTAGTTGTTTTATCATTAATTATCGCAATATTATTAATAAAATATTAATAACACTGCCTATTTTAACCATTTCTCCCTTAACAATAAAAAAATCCTGTTTTTAAATTGCCCCTTTTGAAGATGTATAATACGAAAGAAGCTGGAGCGAGTCGTAACAGTGTTATTGTGGGCCTTAATAAATTTACGGTCATAAGTTAGGTATGGTACGGGTATTGGCGTATTCATTTCCTTTTAGCACGTAAAGTCGAGCACGTAGTTCTCATCGAATTTATGTCCATTCATGAATTTTATAACATTATTCGAAAGTCGACGAATTGTTAATGGCCGATAAACTTTAAGGAATTTGAGCACAAAAATAAGAACCCTTAAGTGTTTTACAACTTTATACAGCTATTTATACGTTGGTATATTAAAATCTTTTACTATAACGAATAAACATGAATATGTTAGAAAAATATTATTTTTCGTTTTTTTCTCCCTGAATGCTATGTAGCCACTTTTTTTCATATAAATGACTTATAATCCTTTAAGCTTTAAATTTTCTACAAAAAAGTCAAGTTTCTAACGTTTTACTTACCAAAGGAGATTTTTAAAATAAACTATTTAAGAGGTTAAAAAGTTAAATAGCAACTGTGTAGTGCATTCAATGTTCTACAAAATCGTTTCTAACAAATTTTTTGTATCAATATTAGTTAAAAAGTTATAGAAAGTCTTATTTTTATGATTTTTAAATGTATTAGGGGAGACCGGGGTAGAACGGGGTACCGGGGCAGAACGGTGTTTTATTTAAATTTTCCGCTGCAGACGATCGATAGTAATCGTCCTTTGTTATCATTTACTAGAAGGCCAACACGTCAGTTGGTAATGACAAACGGGTTACTACAAACGTTTTAGTGTGTTTTAGACAAAACGTGGTAAAATTGTGTTTAGTTTTATAACTTTTCGATATATATATTAGGGTGTTTCAAAAAAATCGACTTTTTCTTTTTCTTCAAATGGTCGGCAAATTCTTTCAGAGGATGTCAACACAAAGACCTCGTCAAAATTTGAGCTTTTAATTTGAAGATTTAGAGGTCGCGGATCGCAATTTTCTATTTCCCATTTAAATAACATAGGAAATTTTTTTTTTTAACTTTGAAATTTTATACGTCTGAATCAAATCAACTTATGTTAAGGATCATCTTAGATTTTCATAGTAAATTTAACGCTCTACAAAAAAGGTCTCTTATCATTTTTCTATAAATTGATTCCTTCCAGAGTTATTCGAGGCCAAAGTTTGAGTTCCATCGAATTTTCGCGTTTTTTAACATATATGGTACAATTATCATTATACGGGTGTCCCGAAATTAGGGGGCCAAACTTAAACAGTGCATTATTCGTATAAAAATAACACTTTTTTTGTTTAATAAACATGTATCAAAAAATGCTCCCCAAAGGAGCTACGGCCCCCTGAATAGGAGCCTAAGAGGATACTTTTTTTAAAACTATTCCTAGAGGGTTGAACATGAACAAATTTTCGAATTTTCGGTACTTTGGTAATTTTGACATGCTGAATCTAGATCTACGATCAAAACTGTTAAAATTTAATCATAGGCGTAACATTTGGAGGGGGCAAAGTTACAAAAATAGCCCCAACTTTTTTATGGGTTAATAATTTAATTTTTTTTATGAAATTATGATAATTTATAGTTTTTTACGAAAAATAGGTACTCTTGATTTGAATTGCTCAGATGCACCATTTTCGAGAAAAATGCATTTATATATAAATTACTCTGCATATTCCCAGTAAACACGTTTTTTAAACGTATTTAAAACGTGTGATAGGTCAATAAAACGTTTTACGTGGAAAAAGCAACGGTTTGATATTGGTATAAATTTACACCAATTAATTTAAACGTTAAAACAACGTTAATTTAAATATGCTTTTTAATAGTGCCTAACTTTTACGTTACAATAACGTTGTATTAAGGTGTTCAGTCAACCATATATTTAAAGGTTTAATTTAAACGTTAAAACAACGTTAATTTAAATATGCTTTTTAATAGTGGCTAACTTTTACGTTACAATAACGTTGCATTAAGGTGTTCCAACCATATATTTAAATGTTTAATTTAAACGTTAAAACAACGTTAATTTAAATGTGCTTTTTAATAGTGGCTAACTTTTACGTTACAATAATGTATTAAGGTTTTCAGTCAACCATACATTTAAATGTTTAAATTACGTTTCAACCCACAATTTTTTTTCACAAATATTAATGAGAAAATAACGTTTGAAGTAATTATTTTATGAACTGTGCAGGCAGCTCTTTCTTTTAACATTTATACTATGTTATATTCAACACGCTCCATCAAACACTTTTAAAATTACTTTTTATATAAGTATTTATTTTGTGAAATTTTTGCTTAGTTTACACATGTAGACAATATGACTTCTTATTTAAATTCTGAAGGTATAAAATCTAAGAATTTTGTTTGTTAAAAAAATGAATTATGAATGAATGTTAAATGAATAATTTAACTTTTTCACTTTTACAAAAGTATATTTTTATAACGTTAATAAAACGGTTTTTGTCAAATACAAATATACCTACTTTAATCCACATCGTTTTTCTCTAAAATGGGATAACTTGTTTAAAAATAATTTATAACGTTTAATATTTAATAAACTGATGCAACATGTATACATACTTAAACAATA